CAGATTCAAAGAATTTGTTGATTAGGTAAGTGAGTGGTTCTGTTATGTCCTCGGCTATAATTTTCAAATGCTCGCTTTTAATACCATCGAACCCAGGACTTTTCCGATTTTTTAAGGACATAACAGTGGTGTATACTTCACATTGCTCGACTTTATCCAAAATAAATGAGTTCAAAGTTCTTTTTGGAGGCTGAGTATGTTGTACATTTGCTTGTATATTACTTGCTAAATTTTTAAAAACTTTTTAAAAACTCGTGGGGTTCTGAACATGGCGGACGATAAATTGCAAATACTTCAATTTTGTTATGGTTAATTTGGATCATTATGTTTAAAATTTTGATTCCATCAGTGAAAGTGAATGTATCATGATTATGTTGCAGTTTATTTCTTACAAAAACTCACCCCATCGTTTTGGTTATAAGTGCCAAAGTTATACAGCGTGTCATATAGAATAAGAGATGCGGTGATATCCATTTACAAACTCAAAAGATCCAGATTAGCACTTCTTTAACAATCTCAACATCTAAAACTATGATTTATTCTTTATTTCTTTACATTGACTACTTTTTTCATATAATTTGCCCGGCCTAGCCTGATGAGTAGAAGAGTCAAGTCAAGTCAGTGTAAAGTGTTTAATGATCATCGATGTGTACTTAATTTTGACAATCTTGTATCTTTTTTATTCTTACTTAATTCTGAAATCGAGAAAAAAAAATTCGGTGGGAATTCCACCAACGGATAAAATGACCATTCCGTTAAAACCGATAGCAATCGATGAATTAATTCGTTGCCGAATTGAAAGCAGAAAACGTTAAAAAGAAGAGTTGTTTGGATACATCGATGTATTTGTTCCGATGTATAGAGCTCCATCGATATTACGATGGCGATGTCCAAGCATTGATGTTTTCTAACAAATTGTCATCCCTAGCCATACTACTCTCACAGCCACGTTAAATTGATATAGTACCGCACTGGGTTAGTAAATCTTCCCTTCAATACAATGATAGCTAAAGAACATAACATGTCACAAACACAAAAAATGATATAAAAAATACATTTTTCAAAAACAAGCTTTCATTTAGCTGTCCGTGAAATGAACAAAACATTTTTTTCCCGATGGGAAATATTCAACCGATAATAAAGCGTCTTCATCTCATGTTTTCAAATAAAAGCATGTTACACCCTTTTTCCATCCTGCTGTCAACCCGTAACATCCTTTAACATAAAAACTGGTTCAAAATTCAGTCCCAGGATTTGTCCCAGATTCGCTTCTCTATACAGGGATTTGGGCTCCCGTTATACCTACAGCAAAGGTTGAATAGGGAAGGTTCTACAGTGCATTCGATAGCCGGGTTCAGATTTACGATCGGTGAATTGGTTTTGGAAATATCGGCGAAAAACAGAAAATGTCGAATTTTGTTTTTTGCCAGTAAATCCGAAACGGTCAATTTGACAGCTGTCAAAATGTGAAATTATTCGGACATTTTGTAAGGAAAATAAGATAGCGTGTATGACAGGTGTCAATCGTCTTTTGTTTCCTCGCAACATGCCTGTGCCATATGTGATTTTTACTTTTTTTTCGTTCTTGGCCTTTTTCTCCGCCACCACCGGACGGATTTTCAAATTACTCTCGTTTTCAGCATAGTGTAAAAATTTCATCAAAATTCATACAAGTTATAGGCAGTCCAAGGATTACGCATAGATAGACAGACATTCAAACGGAAATTAGTGACATACATGGTTTTCCGTGATGTACATGTATAACATTCAAAAAATATAATATCTCAGTTTTGAAATTTTTCGCCCTTACAGTTTTTCCTCGCCAGTATGGCATGGAAAGTAACATTTCAAGAATTCTTGTGAATCTGCAAAAACTCGTCTAGGTAAATTAGGTGGGCATATCACAAATCTGACGTGAGTTTTCCGATGAGATTGATGAGAGTTCCCGAAAGGCTCATCATCCTTTTCAAAATGGAGCTTCAAATATCTTAAAGTTTCATTAGCCTAGGTTTCTCGTTTCGTAGTTTGTTATTTCAGCAGTTTGCAGCACCTTGGCTCTTGTTTGGCAGAATGATATTTTCTTTCTTCAAAATCTCCCTGAGCCCAGGCCAGGAGAGATATTTTATTAAGTAGAAGATAGAGGAAGACGAAAGAAAGGAAGAAAAGGAGAAAGGGGAGAAAAAGGGGAATAGAATCAATTAATAAGAACGAAATTTATTTAATTTGTATTCGGAAAGGTGATTAATTTGGTTAGAGTATTGCCAAAAGATTTATAATTATTTATTATTATTTATTTACGGCCCTGTTACTGGCTACGGAAAGACAGCCTTCAGGGCTTGTGTTCCATGCAGAAGCGTAGCTATAATCGGTTCAAGTGATTTCAGGACAGTTGCTAAATCATTAGCTGGGGCAGACTGTGAAGTGTCCGAATTTGTGTTGCTGGAAGAGGCAACAGCAGCATAAGTTGTGTTCGAATTTAGAGAAGTAGCTTTGATGCCGCTCTCGTAAAAGTTCAATATTTTTTCCGGGGACAAATTTACAGCCTAAGCTATTTGCTGGGTAATTTTGGCCACAATTTGCACAGGTCCTAGCATCGTGATCTGTAAGTGGACATTGATACGTGAGGTGATCTTGGGCGCACTTCACGCACGTGGGAAATGCCGTCCAATATGACTGGGAGTGACCATATCTCTGACAGCAATGGCACTGACCGATTTGTCCGGAAGTTCATTGCACCTCCACCGAGATAGCCAAGCCCATGAAATGTCATGAGACCTTGCTACCTTCGGCAGTACTGACTTTTCTAAATAAAATATCAATCGCTTAGATAGATACCAATTACTTTTACGCTTACATACAGATTTTTGGTTGCGATGGCATCAGGAGTATCTCCACTCTCTTCATCAAAAGTCGAAGTGGTATACTCCAGGCTCCAGGTGTTTAACCTGAAGTAGGTGCGTTGGTGGTTGTGAAGCAGGATAATGTGCCGCCTATGAAATGGGTACTGGATCGCATAGAAAAACTTTTTCCTGGTAAAGATCAAGTCGTTAGAGTCGCTCTAATTCGCACAAGTCAAGGTACCTGCAAGCGCCCCATTAATAAACTTTGCCCATTACCGGAGCAATAGTTTCAGTCAGTCTCGTTGTAATACTTTATTTTAGCTTAGGCTTAGTTTTTAAGTAATTTTTCTTAGGCGAATCGTATATTTGCTTTTCTTAGATTTTATTTCTATTGAAATATTTCATGTTCTTTCTTTTTTTCTTTACGCTAAATTTTTGCTTGTTAGGGATTTTTGGGCTGGCTTTATCGTAAGGCTGGTCTGAGTTGTCACTTGCTTACCCCGCGGGCGTGCGCGGCTAGGACAATAAAAGGAAGCAAGATACTAGCTCACAGTCAGACCACGCAGATACGCCGCAACCCGCATACCGCGATAACATTAATACCCGCAACCGCATACAGTGAGACCACGTGTCTACGCAGCTAACGCATATAGTCAGAAACCGCATATATGCAGCAACCGCATAGAGTCAGAACCGCTCCCACACCCGCAATCTTCACGCTCCTGCATCACCGCTGCGCCAGGAATACGAACCAGAATTAGACAGAATACCGGATCAAAGATAGGCGACAACCACATTTCATTCTTGAACCAGCCGCTATACAGTCCACTTGAATACTCTAACACCCCTAAGGACCGCGTGAATGTTTCTTTCTCCGGGGAGGGGAAAAGTCTGGTGTGATATTTCTTTTTCTTTTAGAGAGCGTACAAGTTTTCTATAATCATCCTCTGGTTAAGGAGTAATTCTAATTCCGGCATCGATAGCCACAGCTTTTTCAATTTTAATACAGAGAGAAACACATTATTATGATAGAAACTTCCACCTTCCTGGTTCGCGCAGTACTATCGGCGTGACAGGCTTTGATGGAGGTAGTCTCGAAGGTGTCGTGCTCGTACCTGGAGGGCTTGGTTCTGAATTTGTATTTTGACTAGAGTTAGTAGCCGAGGCTAGAGTTTGAGTGGTAAAATATTTTTTTTGAGGCAAAGGAGATGATGTCACCCTTGATAAAGGCATGACCTGTCAGAAACATACAGCAGCTTTGAAAACAAAATTCCAAATTGCGTTTCGGCAACTATATCCTTTGTTATGTAGATCCTCCAAATTGAGTTTTATAAACAAAGTTCGCCTATATAAAATGATTATTAGACCAGCAATTACTTATGCATGTGCGGCTTGGTGTTTTCTTGCAAAGCCACATATGCAAAGTCCTCAAGTACTGCAAAGCAGAACTTTGCGAACAATTTGCTTCATGGTATGTCTCAAACGAGACACTACACAGAGACCTTGATATTCCTTACTTAAGGGATTATGTCAAACTTCAGGCGCAGCGACGTTATAGTCAAGCGGAATCGCACAGCAACCCTTTGTTGCGCGACTCAGTGGACTACACAGTGGAGCAAGTTCGTAAACATTCAAGGCCACGGTTCGCACTGTAATCAAAACATTTAAGTGAACTAAAAATTACACTCTAACAAAATTGAATCAGAAATTTGTTTAGTTCAGCTCAAAATTAATCCGTGTACCAAGTCAAAAAGCCTAGGTGTCTCCTCTTAAACTAAACACTTCTGTTTTTCTTTGCTCTTCTCCATTTTTCTGCTCTTTCCTTTTCTCTTTTTCCTTGACATTGTCTGGTTTCTGGCCAACCAGTACTGACAGATTCCACTAACGTACATTAGACAGTGACTAATGGGCAAATGTCCTACGGACCGCCCAGACAAACAAATGACGAATAGTACAGGAGATAAAGATGAAGTAAGAAGCTGGCTGGGCTTACTTGGTAGTGGTGGAAAATCGCTGAAGCTCTTCTTGGATCTGCGTTTTTTCGATACTTTAAAGCTATCTTCTTGCGTGTTTGCTATTTCCATTTCGTTAACTGTGGAACTTTCGCTGTCGCTGTCATAATGACGTTCCTTTGGCGATTCACTCTTCTTCAGTAATTTATTAATTTGCCTCTGTAACTCGTCTATTTGCAGCAATAAGCTTCTTCTGCGCTGCTATCGTTTCCTGCTGCTTTTTATTGTTCTCCAACAGCTGGCTGATGAAGGCATCCCTGTCGGGTAGACTATCTCGGTCTGGCTGAGCACCTTGACTCTCGCCAATATTGGGGCAGCTAGGAGTTGCATCCTGCTGACCCCCAGGATCTGTTTCCATCTTATTATGCGCCTTTTTTTCTGGATTTTCGCGAGTTAATTATCAGAGCAAAAATTCTGTCAACTTAACAATTACCCTTCATCCATTGTTCGTCTAGGTTATCCCAGTTTACTAGGTCTTGTTTGTCTCTAGGTACAGAAATTTTGAAAGGAGCATTTTTAAAGTTAAAAGATAAAATATTTAAGAAAATCATAAGAACATTGCTTTCAGAAACAAAATAGCTCATTCCAATTAGTTTGTCCAAGGGCTTTATTTCAAATCGTCTGAATGATTTTTCCAAGCAAAAGTTCCCCCATACATCTGCAATCTGCGATAAGGCTCTCTCTTTCCTCTAGAACACGATGTTATGACTAAAAGCGTATCCATCTCAGGGAGAAGCAGCTTATAGCCCTGTCGTCTCCTGGGAGTGTAATCTACATCAAGAGATTGACAGATATCTTTGAAGTGCAAACAATCTCGTCTGGATCTCCCTCCATTCAAACGCATAGGCGCATCGTGCGAGCGGTTTGGCTGGATAGATGTGCTCTGGCTTTATTTCTTTGCATTTTTGCCAATAGATGTATGTTCTGAAAGTTGTGAAAATACATTTCGCTTCCCTTACCGTGGCCGCAGCGTATGATTCCTCATATAAGTTTATTTGCAGATACGACAGTTCGTGATCTTCTGGTCATCTAATACTTCTACCGCGATGCTGTCGTATATTCAGCGAATCCCGCGGTAAACGTGATTCTTATCAGTATAACTACTTCAGTGTGCACTAAATCAAACGTAAAACAAAAATTGAGAGAGAACTTTGAAAATCATATTAAAGAAAAAAGTAAGGTTAGAGAATTAAGAGACTGTATACAGTTTTATGTGGTGTGTTTCATCTTCAACAGATCATTTACTTACCGATCAGTGAGGGAAATGCAATTATTTATAAAAGCAGATTATCGAACTTCAACTTCACTTTCTATGATTTAGCTAGTAAAGATTGTTATTGCTTTGTGTGGCACGAAGCAGCAGGTAAGAGAGGATCCTCGGAAATAGCGACTTGCCTTTTTAAAATTTTAGAGGAATATTCTAGCCAGGATAAAACAAAAGTTGTTTTATTTTCTGACGGGTGCTATAGTCAGAATAAATGCACTATAGTTGTCGCTATGCTCCTGTATGCTTTGAAAACACTTCCATCGCTGATGGAGACAACTTTAAGATTCTTTGTTACAAACCATGGACAAAATGAAGGGCATTCTGCCCATATCAGCATTTCTCATGCAATTTTAAAACCAGCCGACTCAGCTATTACTGATTATCAATTTGGCAAGACGGCAATATCTGTATAACGTACAGGGTTTGTCCAGAAAGTAATAGGACTGAGTCGATTTAAAAAAATTTATGAGCCAATCGTTACAATTCTTTAGAAACTTTCAAAATAGGCTCCTTCTGCGTCGATGCAGCGCTGCCAGCGCGATTTCCAAGCATTGAAGGCATCACGGAAGGCATTCTCCGGATTAGCCTTGAGAGCCGCGGTGCATGCTACTTGGATCCCCTCTGTCGTCTCAAAATGCTTGCCTTTCATCGGCCTTTTCAGACGAGGAAACAAAAAAAAGTCCAAGGGGGGAGGGCACGTCTGGGCTGTAGGGCGGCTGCGGAAGCGTTGGGATGCCGGCCTTGGTCAGGTAGCTGTTCACAAGAAAGGCGGTGTGAGCCGGGGCGTTGTCGTGGTGCAACTTCCAGTCGGCTGCGATGTCTTGTCGGACCCGACTGACCCTTCGTTTGAGTCTCCTGAGCACTTCCACGTAAAACTTGGCGTTGACGGTTTGTCCAGGAGGAACAAATTCATGGTGGACGATGCGAAAAAGACAATGAGCATCGTTTTCACTTTGGCTTTGCTCATTCTTCCCTTTTTGGGGCGAGGAGACGCCGTCGTGTGCCACTCGGAAGATTGCATCTTTGTCTCGGGATCATCCTCAAAGATCCACGACTCGTCACCTGTGATTACGTTATTCAAAAATTGGGGGTCACTTTCACACATGTTCAAATTTTCTTGGCACACTTCCACTCGCCGCAATTTCTGGTCGTCAGTGAGCACTTTTGGAACCATCTTCGCGCACACCTTGCGCATGTTCAAATGCTGTGTCACAATGTCATGAACCACAGATTTTGGTAAATTTAACATCGAATACTTAGTCGACGGTCTGAGTTCAAAGCTTTGCGCACACGAGTCACATTATCGGTGTTTGTCGAAGTCCTGGTGCAACCGAAACACACCACTTCTTGCTAAAGCAACACCTGGGTAAGCCTGCTTGATCATATCAAACGTCTCTGTCGCAGATTTTCCTAGTTACCACACAGAATTTAATCGCGTACCTCTGCTCTAACAAACGCTGCATTTTCGGCTTGCACCACTCACAGAAACACGTCGCGCGAAAATGCCTGTCCTGACTCTCCAAGTGCTCGGAGACAACTGACCAGCCGCTCATTCGTTAGCTAGGAACGCCCTCTACCGAATCCAGTCGGGGCGCGCACACTCCGAAGTACAGTCATGGCGAAAGAAAATGACTTTTAGAGACCTCATGGATTTCAAAGCTTTTTCTAAGAATTTGAGGATTGTACCCATAGGTACTACAGCTTCAGGAAGAATGATTAACTGGAAAGACATCATGGAAGTTAAAATTAATAAGTTACACCAAGATAAAATATTTTTCAAGACGAGCCATTTAACAGAAGAGTATGATTTTATTCAATTGAAAAGAGGCGCAGTAAATAGGGAAATGTCAGTTAGTATATTCAATTCAATTCAATAGGCTTTATTCAGAAAAAAAAGTTGATATAAAAACAAAATGAATGAATAAAGCATGAGCCGATAAGTGTAAAATAACACTTGTTTCGGCATAAAAAGAAACCGTATATCTATATATCTATACTAAAAGCACATTGTAATCTCACATACATACAGGGTGACTTTGAAGTTGAGTCATTAATTTTCAGATAATGATTGTAGAAGGAAGATAAACCAAAATATGTGTGTAAAAATAAAAAAAAATTAAAAAAAAATGTTTACCTTATTTTATAAAGTATCCTTCCGACAAGTATTTCAGTGCGGACCTGTATTTGATCGTGAGGTCCCCTGGGAGGTCTTAAGTCACCTGATTCACGAGCCCGTTGTACTACATTAACAAAGGCACGAGGGGTTGGTTGCACTCGATTGGGAAACCGATCCGCATAAACATGTGCCATTTTTTATTTCGTTTGAGCCACGCAACAGACACTATTCACACGCGTTACCGATTGACACTGACTGTATGTATAACTGAACTGAATAAAATAATTGTAAAAACATCGTTCCAAATTCTTTCGCTTTTTTGTTTCCGATGCGATGAACCGATAAGGCGGATTATATCCGTTGTTGCCAAACACGAGCACATGATATTATTATTGAGACAGGGCGGTACTCAAACTTCCAAAGGGCTATAACTTTGTTACTTTAATTTTACCAGAAAAATGGTAAAGGAAAAAAACATTTCTTTTGATCAGATCTGCTCACTGTTAAAATAAATGACTCAACTTCGAAGTCACCCTGTATATAGTATATCGTAAGCTAAAATGGTATTAAAATAAGAATGATTAAAACGCTGTAACATAATACCGCACAAATAATAGTAACCAAAAAAAAGAGGCTAATAAAAGAAACCTATCACACAGACATAACAAATATACAGGTAGTTGACGAATAGTAATCAGATGACATATCGTTTTATAAATCTATGTAACCTGATCAATACAGACTCATAATTACACTACAATAGATTGGTAATGTAGTAAATTCTCTATTGATCCTCGTGGTTGGTTCAAAATGAATTGCTTCAACGCTTTCTTGAATGGCGCCAAGTTGTTGATGTGTTGCAGATGTGGTGGAAGACTGTTGTACAGTTTAGGAGCAATATAAGTATATGAACGCTGTCCTACACACTTTTGGAAAACTGTTACGACATGGTGGTGTTTTTGCCGTGTTGAGTATGGGTATATTGGAAGCGTAGAGACCTGTTTATTACAGTGATATTTAGTGGCAATTTTGAACCAGAATGTCTGTCGAAAAGGTTGTTAGTTTCGCTGTATAAACGATCAGATGGAAATCTTGGCTCTCTGGAATGTGTTAGTTTTAATATTCTTTTTTGAAGTATTTCAACAGGTTGGATATAAGTCTTCGAAGCTCCTCCCCATGCTACTATGTGACTTTCCACTAAAGCGTGATATAAGGTTTTCATTTGGTAGGTTCTCAATATTGTTTTCATGCATCGGAGTTTTGAGAGAACCGTACGCAACTTTTTACAGATGAAGTTGTTTATGTTTATCCCACCTCAGATGTTCATCTATAATCACGCCAAGGTACTTAGCACTTTTTTCTGGCTTCATTGAATGTTGTTTCCCATTTATACTGACTCTTATATCATTAAACGATGGCTTCGTAGATTTATTGCATGTAAAGGGGATATAACATGTTTTTTCCCAGTTTACTGTTAATAACATGTGCTGGAGCCATCTCATTATATTTGGTAGGTCAGTCTCTGCGGTGGATTCGAGATTTTGCCAAGTGTCTGCTTTGTAAAATATAGCGGTGTCATCTGCAAATCCAAAGATGTCTCCACTACATTGGACCGAAAACATCTCATTGATGTAAATATTAAATAGTATAGGCCCTATATAATTATATAATGACCCCCTTACTTTATGTAATGGCAGAAATCCCGTAATAAGACTACCAGAAATAAAGAAATTCTATGAAGACTTACCTCATGATGAGGTTTAGGTTTTTTTTTTATATAGATTTTGAGAATTTTTAATATTTTTTGTTTGTTAGTTACCTTTGTCAATAAAAGCTAATTAATAAGAAATCTTCTCTCTCCCTTTCTTTGATTATAAATCATTATGTCCATACAGACCATGTTTTTTCGTCGTATCTTCCGTCGCATCATTAAATAATTATTTTTGACAACACGAAATGACGTATCTGACTTATC